GTCAATCCTGTTATGTGGCATAATTTCAATAGTGTTTAAAGAGCACATTATCAAAATTAATTTCACCTGCTTCTTTTTCCTTGTAATTGGCTCTCAGAAAATGTAAAATAATATCTGTGGATGGGACTGCAGCTTACATTAGGACAGCGTTGGTCTAGATAACCTTAACTAATATTTTCATATTTTCTTCTATTTTATAAGTAGTTGAGAATCTCCTAGTTTATGTAAATTTCTTGGGGTCATAATTTACATATGTTTGGTTTTCTCTTTATAGCACAGAGCTTAGCAAATATTATACTAAACAGTTAATACATATCTTTTGAATTGAAATTAACATTGGTCCTAAAACTAGGTCCGTGCTGCTTTCAAGGCGTCTGCAATGCTCATGCATTTTAGCAGTGCACTATAGAGGCATTCGATAAATGGTACTTGACTTTGGTAATTGTGTATGAAGAGAAAAAAACTAGAAAAAAAAAACCCAATGTATGAAATTATATCTGTAAAATTATTTTTTCTGACATAAAATCTAGTTTTTAATTCAGTCGAATGCCATGTTTCAAAATATATTTTGAGGCAGAAAATCATTCACATGCTAATAGGATTTGATGAATTTCTTGTAATTCTATTCCTTTGTAGAACTGGACTTCAAACACTTGTTTTGGCCCTGTAGCAAATGAACTAAAGGCCAAATTTTAAGAATAGTCATACTTGTGACTTAAACCTACTGAAAGATAAACTCTTGGTGCTGGTAAAGGGACTGGTCCCGTCAATGTTCATGTTAGCTTTTGGCTATCAAAAAGAGCCCTTTTCAAGCTAGTTGCTATGGTCTCAGGCTTTTCTGCTCTATGGCTAATTTTGAACTTTCCTCTTTTTTCTTGAAGTGACTTAATGCAATCAAAATTATCCTGAGAAGTTGTGTTAATGAAATTTTTCTTGAACTAATTAGATTTAAAGGATGCTAAGAAATTTCACTTAAATAAGCCACTCAATATGTTCTTTTAAAAAGTAAAAAATGTCACTCAGTTGAATAGTTTATTACTCTTGATTTGCTTAAAGCTATGTAATAATTTCTTTATACAGTTCAAGTTTTAGTAGGATTTTCACTAATCTTTGAATGCTTCCTTTTCGGAGCCCTTTCTTAGGTATAAAATGGAGAAAGCAAACACCTATATATTTGAAAACTCTGGGGTTACCTAACTGTTTGTTGTAGGTAAACAGTGTTCCCTTCTGACTCTCCTGCCCCTTCAATACCATCAATGCCACTATTTGGAGAAAGGTGTATCTGAGAGTCCTTGGAGGAAGAATATCCTTTTATTGATTCTTAACACTTACAACCTAAATGATTAGCCTCTTGTCTAAGTAAGCAATTATCAAGGAGGATAGATAGCATCGTCTCACATAATAAATTTGAAGTTACAAATGGAATTTACTGAAATGAACGTTATAATGTATTAAAAATTCTCCACGTTGGGTGGCTACCCAAGTATGGATGCTTTTGCTTTATTGGAAGGCTGCTTAAAGTGAACCCATGAGCACCATAAAGAGACATCAATGAAGTTTGTACATAAGCAAAAATGTTTCAACGTGAGAACCAAGTCCTCATAAGAAATCCTTTGAAGGTGGTCCTCTAATGCTGACCTTGTCATCAGCCTCTTAGATGGTTCTAACAAGGGTATCTTACCCAATTGTATGTCTTGTGAAAAATTAGAGCAAAACAAACATTGCTCCACAATAAAATCTCTGTAATCCCATTTACATATTCAAATTGCAAGTATTTACACATTGCATACAGCAATCTTAGAAATATCAAGTTACAAAATAATCTTCTATGCATTCTTTGGATTTTATAAATAAGGATACACAGGCAAAGTTTTCACCTAATACTTGAACAATTTTGAACAACATCAACTTGTCTTAAACTTTTGGGTTAAAGTATTAACTCTCCTATGTCAAAGAGCATTTAGATTTAGAATTACATATCAGCATTAGAGCTGCAGTGATTTCATTAAACTACTCACCTTGCCAAATTCCAGCCTTTTAACCCCCTTTTATTTTATTTTTTTAATTGAAAAATAATAATTGTACATTTCATGAGATACAGGGGTTCTGTCCCAAGATCATTCCTTCTCTTTGAGATGAACCTGGCCAGCATCATACAATATATGATGATCAGATTGGGGTAATTAGCGCATCTATCATTTCAAACATATATCATTTCTTTGTGTTGAGAATGTTGAATATTGTCCCTCTAGCTATTTAAAACTATACAGTGTATTATCACTAATTATAGCCATCCTAAATTGTTATAGAGCACTAAGATTTACTCCTCTAATCTAGCTGTAATTTGATGTCTTTTAACATATCTGTCTCCACCTCGCCCTTTCCACAACCTTCCCATCCTTAAGTATTCTCTGTTCTGTTCCTGTCTGTATTCCTGTCTATACCCCTGTTTTTAGGACATTTCATGTCAATTTTGTTTCTGAGATTGAGCTGGAGTGCCATGGCATCCTCAGACCTCAAAGTTATGGACTTCAGTGATCCTCCCACCTAGTTTCCCAAGTTCCTGGGACTATAGGCAACACCACATTCAGATAATTTCTCTTGGGTTTTTTTTTTTTTTCAGAGACAGCATTTCACTATGTTGCCCAGACTTTTCTAAACTCCTGAGCCCAGGAGATCCTCCTGCCTTGGCCTCCCAAAACTCTGGAATTGTGCTCAGTTTCTGAGTCTTGCCTCTGTTACTTTTTAGTCCTCTGGGCAGAGTTTTTCTATCTCCCCCACGCCTTCTTTTGGCCTCTCTTCTTTTGCTTTTTGTGTTACCACCTCTCCATCTTTTCTGTTCTCCTCATTTATTACCTCTGCTTCTGGTTTGGGCTGGAGGGTGGCCGAGGAACAAGAGGGTTCTCTCCCAAGATCGTTCCTTCTCTCTGAGATGAACCTGGCATTTTCCTGGCCCACAGAACTAATGTCAGGCCCCTCCTGGTCACCTTCAGACTCCAGTCTGTGAATAAGGCCACGTCTGGGGAATAATTTCTTTATTATCACTAGTATTTATTTCAAAATTATCTTGTAATATTATTTGAAACACTTGTTTTTAAAATGCATATTTCGTGCTGTATTTTACTGGTTCTCCTACTCCAACCCCCAGTATTTCTATCTGGTTTGATCCAGCCTATTTTGAGGGGAAGGCAGCATATCCAGTAGGTTTGAAAGGTGAGTCATATTGAGTCCTGGGTTGGCTACGTTTTGGCCCTGCTGTGTCCTTTCGTGCACGTATTCCTCAGGGCAGAGGCATTTATTTACACTGTACAAGTCTGTTCACATTTTATGTTGATCTTACAGTGTCATTCAGGGACAGAAGCGCTGAATGAATCAGAGAAAAGGAGGCTCAATATTGTCAACACAGGTGGCTTTTTGCCTTTAGGAAGCACAGATGAAACTCTCCCTTCCTACAAATGGAGCTCATGGTACAGTTTTCTGTTTTCTGGACTCAGACTTCAAAGATGATCAAGGGAATATAGTCAGAGAGCTCAGGGCTTCTTGAACTCTCTTGTGAATGTGAGGTTTCTGTTTTTCTATAAAATACAGTAAAAAATTTATTTATAGAAAATTGAAATGTCAAACAGGCTTACAAATCACATTACCCCACACTTTTTTATTATTAGATTCAACAGACACATTAGTTGGTCAAATTGCCTTACGAGTTTCTAAACACAAACTACCCATGTCTCTACTTACTTTGTCATGTTCCAGGAACAATAACAACTGGGAGACCAGCACCGGCCGGGGGACCACACTTTCAAAGCTGATGGGAGGCACTCCTGCTATCCCAGATAAGAAGTGCTATTGTCAAATGGCAGCTAGGTTTGGGAATGATTACTTGAGTTTAGAAAATTCTAAAAACAGAGGGGGAGAAATTAGACATCTATTGATGACCTGAAAACTAAATGTAGAGAATAAACCACAATCAAACATGTTTGGCAGATAATAAACATGAAGTTAATGCTTACCACATCACAATGTGAACTGTGCACTCTACGACCTGAAAAAATAGGTATTGAAAAAAATGGGCGAATTTAAAATTCCCTTCCCCAACTATATTATTCACAGAGAAAAGGCTTTCTCCCACCCCGGCTCTGGTTAAATATGAGTAAGCACCTTAGGAAGCCCTGAGCTAGACTCTCGTCCGTTATCCACAATCGTTTGCTGCTGCTTTGTTTGTCTACACACTGCCAATTAATCTCAGGTCTAATTTTTGGAAGGGAATTCCATTCACATTCATGGATTCTGAGTAGCCTTTCCTTCATGAATGTTTCAGGGCCTTTGAGCTTTTCCTCTGTAATAAGAACACACTACATGAGATAGGCAGTCAATTCAGATTAGAATTCAATGTGTCGGCTAGCTCAGAAATCCCAATACAGAAGTTAGCACTCCTGGTCAACAGATGCTCTCCAGGGAACTTGGCCTCCAGAAATCAAGGGCTGGATTAGATCCATCTAACCCAAGAATTTTCCTTTACCAAAAAAGTAATGATGTCTTTCGTAAGGATAGGTGGTAAAAGAGTATTTCAAAAATAGCATCAGTCCTATTGAATAATTTGCATTCCACAGGATTAATTTTCAAGATATTGAATTGAGAAAGCTGAAATTAGTATGAAAGGAGGGTAGTGCCTTAAGTTTTTTGGAATGAAATGGAATGTACACTCATTTAAGACTTTCATTTAACTCGGGCATATAAAATATCAGGAAAATCTTGGCTAAATATCTTACCCCCAGTAAAACTGCAGGTGAGTATAAGGTGAAAGGTAAGTGACATTGTTGGATTTCCTGGATGGTTACGAAGAGCCGGTGACACACTGAATGGTGCACATTGAATGTTGTGATGGTGCTGGTTTCTCATTTAACATTGCAATAATTTGTGATGACAAATAACATGCTGTAGATGACAGAGTTTAAATGCTTTATGCTTTCATATGTGTATGTTGTGTTCCTATCTTACAGACTTTTATAGTATTGAATAAGGGGAAGGCCATCTTCCGGTTCAGTGCCACCTCTGCCCTGTACATTTTAACTCCCTTCAATCCTCTTAGGAAAATAGCTATTAAGATTTTGGTACATTCATATCCTTTTTTCAAGTGATTAGTATTAACTATTTGTACATAATCTCTAAGTACTTTGTAGCTGAATGTAAGAGTTGGGGAACGTCCATATTCTATAACTATTAGGCTCTTTTTGCATTTTTTCATGCCTTATTCTTCAACTTGATTAATTACATAGATGTTACTAAACTTACTAAGTCTTTAAAATCCTTTTTATGCATATATACACACATATGTATGTACATTTTTATCCTTCTAAAAATATGTATATGTATTTAATTCTACAAATCTAACATTAGTAGCCATATTAACCTTACCACCTTTGCACAGAGTTTGTGATTATGTAGAATTTACAGTAAGCAGTGCTATAATAATGAAAAAAATCTACTTTCAGACCCAAGTTTCGCCATACCTATGATGTAAAACACTTCAGAATGTCTTAGAATAAACCTTAAAGGTAAGCATATTTTCCATGGGTCAATGTCAGGAGCTTTGGGCCAGTACTTAGGTAATTCTTGAGCTTTCTTGATGATATTTGTAAAGGAAATACTGGAATGTTGGCTGAATTTCAAGTTTAATTATGACTCTGCCTTGGGAAACTGATTGCTTAGTAAAGACTCTGAGAGTCAATGAAAGAAACTGAGATTCTATTTCTCAATGGTCTTAAGGGCTTTGGCTTTATGATTCTCATTGGTGTTAAAAAAATCTCTACAGTGAAATCCAGTGTTGATGATATGTGTCAAGGAAAAGCTTCATTTCTGGTTGTGTCTCAGTTGATAGTTTTGGCAATAATAAAGAGATTCTGGTTTTTTTTTTTTTTAAAAAAACTCATACTACCTGCTTTTTGAAAATGTTTCTAAAACTTAAAAGGTCATCTAATTTTAAGCTGATTACAAGACATTCTTTGGTGGTATAAATATGCAGTTACTAAAATTAAAATATTTGAAAGATAAAAATCCTAGGGTCAGGGTTTTTACGCTTAGGGAAATATCCCTATCCTACTTTGTATTTCTAGTGCCATCATGTGGTCATTTAATGAAAACTTTCCTTCTGACTTGTGGAAAATTTTGGTTTGGGCAGTAAATTCTAGTCAAAGAATATCGGATCTGAGGCTGGAAATCTGTTTTAGTACTGGGCCACATGATCTAACTTCTCTAGAGATTAGGCCTGATTTCCTTGATTTCTAAAATATACCGATAAGACCAGTTGGTTTTAAGGTTCTGTTTAGCTCTGTATTTCTGTTTTGTCTTACTTGTTTGAGGTATCCCTTAGAGCATATTTACTTCTATACAGGCACTGTGTCAAGCATTGCATACTTATTAGTGCATTTAGTCTGTATGTGAAAATGATGAGTTCTGCACATTGTCAGTTCCATTGTATAAAAAGTAAGAGGAAATTCAGGGTGGCACAGAGGCTGAGTCTACGATCACTTTGCTATGTTGAATTTTCATTACATTCACATCGTGGTAAGGAGTGACCTTCAAGAATATTCACTTTTAATCTTATCCAATGCTGCTACACTTGTACAAATTCCATCCAAATGGACCAACCCAACAAATAGCATTGTGCTGTACTTTGACCATAAACTATTTTCATGCATTATACTATATTTGGATAACGTGGTTAAGAAATGATAGTATTGCTGATATATACCCTTCCTCAACAATTTGCAATTTTAACTGCATTAATTAATGTAATATAAGTCTTTCTGCTCAAAGCATTGAGCCTTCTGCTCAAGTTGCTGTGCAATTTGTATTGTCAAAAACACAGCTTCCCGCTGAAGTTCTCTGGTAAATACATTGAATTACTAAGAGCGATAAAAACAAAACTTTATGCTGATATAATACTTTTCCATACACTATCTCATTTAATACATACAACCACCCTATGAACATAATATTATTACCCACAATTTACAGATGAAGAAATTGAAGTTTCAAGATGTTAGATGACTTTCCTGCAATGTGTTTATTCCTGAGTCCCAACTAACCCGCAGTCCAGGCTTTTCAATGATGGTTTGATGTAATACCTAGATTTGGATTTTCTTCTGTGCATTCCTTAACAATAACCTACATTATTCAGCATGCTAATTATGTGCACTATTTTGACCAACTGTGTGTTTATGACAATGAGTAACCCTCCTGATTGGACAAAGAATGTAGAGTAAGTTCAGCTTAAATTTTAAATATATATATACAAATATATCTCTATGAATGTTTGGGATTTTGAAACAATGTCTTAATGTCTTTTCAAAATAAAACTGAAGAACATCCTTATTAAAGCAACTCCTAGACACAGTTATGTAGCAAGAAGGAAATGCTCTGAGCTCTGCTGGCCTTAGATCCAATGTCTTTCACCTGTCCCCGGTGGTCACCAGCAGCCCATCATTCCTGAATAGCCATCCCTTTTCCTTCAGGATTTATAGTGGCCAAGGCAAATGTGGTCATGCAGAGAAGAGCCAATATGGTGATCCTTGTGACAATTAAATTCCAGATAATTTAAGGGACTAATAATCAAAAAGGGCAAATTAGAAATGCCATATGATGACAGCGTTGCACCATACCAACTTTTCATTTCCACCAGATGCATCTGCTTCATGGTGGGCCTATATCAGTTGCAAGCATGTTCACAAAAAATGGCAGAAAAAATCCAGCATTTTTGGATTGTAGAACTTAGAAAATTCAGTAGATTGAAGGCTAAACGAACAGAAATCAAAGTTTGGGCAGCTTATTCAGAAAATGGGAGCATTCCTAATTCTATCGACAAACTTTCTGTTCTGGGGATCCCTACCCCTTTGAGAGCTGTGATAACTGCAGCCAAGACTGTGCTAACAAGGGCTAGGCCACCGGCCCATACTACCTGTGTCATAATCTCTGTGGCTGCTGACCCTTTCCTGCTGCACAGGTCTTCCCAGGAGCCTCTGCCCTTCCTGGATACCTCCAGGTTGGAGTCGATGTGAAAACTGACAGATTCTGAAGAAAATAATAAACCTTATATGCAAAGAATTCCTGCTGTATTAAAATTAACATGTGAGGCCCTGCAAGTGTTCAGCCCCTCTAATTCCTGTGATTTTATGTTGCCCTCACACTCAAAGTTCTGAGTAGAAGTTTTAAACTTTGGAAACATGCAAGTTTCTGAATTATCACAAAACTTTATTCTAAATTAATTTTTTACCCTTTCTAACCTTAGAATTTTCCACTTTGGTTTTAATCAAGTCCTTTCCCCAAGTAAGTTCACCTACCATGCGGAAAGGGGAAACCTACGACTTGTTAATTTGTTAATTTCTTCTCCTTCTTAGAACATCATTGAAATTGAGATTTTTTTGCATTCTAGAGGAAATTATTTTATGCTTCTGCAATATTATTGACTGGGTACTCCATCACGTGAACATGCCGGATCATTCCTGGGAAGTTATATTCCTTTCTATCAATACCAAAACATCTTAGACAGTAACAAGAACAGACTAATTGCTGGTATTTCTCACACTACTCTTAACAACACCTTAAAACCAGCTCTTCATGTATTGGGGAATTTTATTTCTATTGGAATAAAATCAACCTGCCTACTTTTCTTTCTTAATAGTCATCTATTCCTCTGAGAGATTGATAAGAAATGGAGATGCTATAACACTGTGACTTTATAAATGCTTCTGGATGCTTGTTTTCAGGTACACCTTCACTGGAATATATACTTTTGAATCACTTATAAAAATTATTGCCAGGGGCTTCTGTTTAGAAGATTTTACTTTCCTTAGAGATCCATGGAACTGGCTCGACTTCACTGTCATTACATTTGCGTAAGTGCCTTTTTTGAAACTTGGAAAGAGAACATAGATGGGTTTTCCATGAGTGCTTATGCTTTTAAAGAGTGGGTTTGTTTTAAGGGTGGACTATTTTAGTGTGATTTACATTATTAAGCTCTGAATTTTAATTTGGTGCAAGAGGTCCAGTGGCCATTTCACTGTGGCATGAAGGTTTTGCAGTAGTTGAAACTGAAATTTTCACATGTAATAAATATCTGTCTGCAAATTTCAACCATGTTATTCTTTCAAAATACACACACACACACATGCAAGCACACACACACACTCCCGAGTGTGAAATCACAAGTATATTGATAATACATCTGTGAAAATGGATTTAAAAAATTACAGCCACAGAAAATTCTATTGGCCCCATAGATTTGCACTGAACTTGCCCAGATTATGCACGGCTTCTTTTATTAGTCTGATAGAAGAACAGAAATATTAGCATTGAAGTGTTCTGGCAAAACAAGCAGGAAAAAGTACGTTAGTTGATGTACCTATTTAACATAGTATTAAATTATTATTTTATCAGCAAACCAATTTTCTAAGACATAGATGGGCACATTCTCTCTGTCTCTGTTTCCACCCTGACCCTTTGTCCCTTCCTCTCTTCTTTCTTTTTATGGATTTCTTCAGTTCTTTCTTTACTCTCAACCTAAAGCTTACCCTTGTCTACTATGCATCTACACCCAGTAATATGCCTAATTTCTGCACCCTATTTTTTTTCCTAGTGGTAAACTTTCCCAGGAAGAGGTCTAGAAAAATAATAGAAAGCCATTCAGGAGAAGGTGAGGGTAGAATGTGGGGGAAGGTAGACCAGCACCTCTCTCCCTCATACTTTCTTCAAAGGCCGATTTTCCTGGCCTCTTGCAAATGTGATGTGGGGAATAGGAGAGGTGGCGCTCTAAGACTCAGGGCTTCAAATACTCCCTATCTGCTCTTAATTTCATAGCTGATTGGGATGAGCCAATTGTTCTCCAAGCTCTCTGGTCACAGCTTGAAAGATGTATATGAGACTTCTGTTTCTGAATAAAGTAGCAATAATGGCAGGGCCACCATTGGGCCCTATAAAATATTTTCTTTATTTCCCTGACTTTCATTTAAAAGTTATTCTTAAAAAACCTTTTCTTGTACATAAAGGCAATAAGGCTATCTGCGTTTACATGCCTAAATTCTGTTGTGTGAGTTTGTGAATTTTTTTCTAATACAAACCCTAAGACCATAGCCAAGATATATTTTCTTTTTACTTAATTCTCCTATGTAATTGTCAGTAACATTAGATTACATGTTGACTACATTGAATTCCAAAATGGCAAGAGGGATGCATCCTTTATAAAGTTTACATTCAGATAGTGGCCTTAAAAATGTTGTGAATTAAATGACAGTAATGGATTCTAATTTTTAATTTGCCACTTACGATATTTATCATTTAAAATCACCAAGAAGGTCTTTATAAAATACCAGCACCAATAATATAAATCCTCTTAAAATCTTGAATAACTCTGATTTAATTCTACAGGTATTTAACCGAATTTGTAAACCTAGCAATTTTTCAGCTCTTCGCACTTTCAGAGTCTTGAGAGCTTTGAAAACTATTTCTGTAATTCCAGGTAAGAAGTGATGGGTGTACAGCTCAGGCTCCTTGAACCTACAGCTCTTTCTTTGTATCCTGTCATTGTGTTTGTGTGTGAACTCCTTATTACAGATATGTGACAGAGTTTGTGGACCTGGGCAATGTCTCAGCATTGAGAACATTCCGAGTTCTTCGAGCTTTGAAAACAATTTCAGTCATTCCAGGTGAGAGCTGGGTTAAACGCCCATGCTGACCTCTCATGTTTGCTCAGCATCAGCCTGTTTGCTTCACATTCCGCATTACAGAAAATCGGAAACCATCAGATTAGGTGTTTCACAGGAAATGATTCTAATTGTCTGAACATACCTTTTATCGGCCTTGGAGTTTAACAATTTCTTATGTGAGACACTGTAATTTGCAGTATCTTAGAAATACTACGGTTTTGTTTTTCATCGCATTGGTTCGACCAATAACTTGTTCCCTATTGAATGCATCAATCTGTGATTTCTTATTCATTATAGCCATTGATCCATTAATGACTATGTATGTACAATACAAATCTTGCAAGTCTTTTGCTAACAAAAGACAAATGAGTAAGATAATAAACAATAGCATGAGTTTGCATGTAGTATTATACCTCAAGCCACCTTCAGCATTGTAAATAAACTTTTCCAACTTATAAACAGAAGTTTTTAAATATCTATTAAGGTAATTTGCTATAAAAATAACAACTGCCCCTAGTGAGAGTATGGGGCAAGTTTTAGTCGCAAAAAGAAAAAAGGACAAGACCTTTTCCTTCATGTGGGCTTCATGAGGACCATGAACCGCCCATTATTTCCTCCAGACATAATGGGAGATGGCTCTTTAGTTCGCTGTTTACTTCACCGCATTATGGGGTCAGCTCCGTAAGTTCTTCAGTCTCCCAAAAAGTATTGCTCTTCCACTCGCACTGCAAACATTTTAGGCTTATGCATGAAATCTATGTTTTCAAAAGAATTATGTGAAGCTTTTATTATTTCCCCTGCGTTGAGACTTCACAGTAATAAGATTCTTTCTTTCAGGCCTGAAGACCATTGTGGGGGCCCTGATCCAGTCGGTGAAGAAGCTCTCTGACGTCATGATCCTGACTGTGTTCTGTCTGAGCGTGTTTGCGCTGATTGGGCTGCAGCTCTTCATGGGCAACCTGCGGAATAAGTGTGTCCAGTGGCCTCCCACCAATGCTTCGCTGGAGGAGCATAGTATAGAGAATAATATAACTGTGGATTACAATGGCACACTTGTAAATGAAACTGTCGTTAAGTTTGACTGGAAATCATACATTCAAGATTCAAGTAAGGACTATTGTTACATGTATTTATTCTTTTTGTTGTTGTTGTGCCTGTCTGGACATGAAAAAAATTAGTAATGGTCACGGAACAAGTTGTGATCTTTTATAAAATTACATGATCAAACTGTTTTTAAAATATTTTCAATTACATTGTACTTGTCATTTCTTTTCCCTGGATTTTAAATAATAGATTATTTATATTTCTGAAGCTAATTTTAAAGAAGGATTTTATTAATCACCTTATCAATGATGTGCACATATGTATAATTATTCTATTAATAATTATTAATAGATCTATTAATCTATTATTAATAATTATTTTGACTCCTAAATGGTACTTTTCATGGCATCCTCATGTGGAAGGCTGAAGAATTCAGCTAGAAAGAATTTGCTGTGCATTCTTCAGGCAGCAATTGAAATAATCGAAGGAGATAAAATATGTGAAAGCCCTTTGTAAATGACCAAAAAATAAATATTATTCTTGTATTTGAAAGGTAGTATTATGTCAAAGAGAAAAGAATTACAATCAATGAAGCTTTAGGAGAGAGTAGCATCATATGTTAGATGACTTAGTAAAGTTATGGGAATCACTTCATCTTTATTTCAAGACTTAGACAAATAGTTGAATATTTCAATAGTCCATTCTAGAAGGTTGTAAAAATAGTGAGTCTACACTTTCTCTTTTTAAAATGAAAATAAAAAGTAAGTAAAGTTTTCTCTCTCTTTAATTTCAGAATCCACCAGTAGCAATATTTTAAAAGCAAGGAAAATCAAACATGATTTATGGGTGAAGAACATGTCTTTGTAAAGAAAAATATTAAATATTTAAAACTCAGATTCTAAGAGTGTGGTGGCTCACGCCTGTAATCCTAGCTCTCTGGGAGGCTGGACTGCCTGAGCTCACTGGATGGAGACCAGCCTGAGCAAGAGTGAGACCCCATGTCTAAAAAATAGCTGGATGTTATGGCAGGCACCTGCAGTCCCAGCTACTTGGAAGGCTGAGGCAAAAGAATCACTTGAGCCCAAGAGTTTGAGGTTGCTGTGAGCTATGACAATAGAGCACTCTACTGAGGGTGACAAAGTGAGGTTCTGTCTCAAAACAAAAACAAACACCCCCCCCCCAGATTCCAGATGTGCTTGAATATAGTGATATCATTTTTATTATTTTGGAATTAATTTGGAAAAAATACAAGAAAGCTTCAGTGAACAAGTAGGATTTGTCATAGAAAGTTATTGGTTATTTGATAAATCTTAAAGTTATGATAACATAATTTAAAACATAAGAAAGACCCAATCAGTGTCTCCCTATAGTTACAGATCTGGGAAATACTTTGTGTTGTTACCAATTGACTCTTTCATGATATTCAGTGTAAGTTAACAAATAATTTGCAAATAGTCTTAAAACTCTAGATTAAGAAAAATTCTTTAATTAAGAAAAGTAAGTGTCAGAGCAAAGATGTCTTCATTCATTCTTTAGGATGCCAGTAAGTCCACTTCTGTCACCAACTCCCTAAAATCTATTGTTAGTTTGATTTTGTGTCTAAGAGTAAGGCAATAAATATGAAAACATCACTTAAGGTTTATTCTCTTTAGTGGACATTTATCAGGCTCCATTTTTAATGTATTCAAAGTAAAGGAAATCAAAAAATATCTGAGGTTATTTCCAGCTCTAAAAATCCATGCCTCTCACCATTTTCCCTAGTAACATGCCAGTTGTTGAAAAAAAGATTATTTTAAATAAAATGCAAATATATATATACAATAGCTCATCTTTGAAAGTAATAGAACATTCAATTTATTATAATTAAAGATAAACATAACTGAAAAATTGTATTTTCCTCGGGTTAAGGATTTCATTTAATTTTTTATTTATTAAATTTCAGTAGATTTGGGGATACAAGTTGAATTCCTTTACACATACAGATACCACAGTGGTGAAGTCTAGGCTTTTAGTACCCATCATCAGAGTAGAGCACATTGTACCTCCCAGGGAAGTTTTCGTCCCCTCCTCCCCTTCCCTGAATCATCCTTTGTGTTTTTAATGTGCATTACACCCTCTGTGTGCCCCCGTTTAGCTTCTCATCTTTTAGTGCTACCATTCATCTTTCTGCTCCTGAGTTACTTCACTGAGGATCATGGCTCCAGTTCCATCCAAGTTTCTGCAAAAGATGTTATTTCATTCCTTCATATTGCTAAGTAGAACCTCATTATGTGTGTTGTATATATACTTACCATATTGCCTTTATCCATTCATCAAACACTTAGGACACTTAGGGTGATTATATACCTTTGTGATTGTGAATTGTGCTGTGATAAACATACATTTTTTGATATAAGGATTTCCTAGGAGTGGGATTGCAACAATCAAGTAGTAGATCTACTTTTAGATCTTTGAGAAATCTCTTTGATCCCCCACAAAGGGTTTAGTAATTTACATTCCCACCCACAATGTATAAGTGTTTTCTTTTCCCCACAACCAACACTTGTCCTTTTTTTGTCTTTTTAGTAATGGTCCTTCTGATTGAAATAACAAAGTATCCCATTGTGGTTTTAATTTTTATTTCCCTGATGATTAGTGATGTTGAGCATGTGAGCATTTTTTTTTTTTAGTTAAAACAAGATCTCACGCAGTAGCTTATTTTTTAATAATTTGTGTACCTTCTTTTGAAAAACACTTGTTCGCATGATTTGCCCACTTTTAAATGGGGATGTTTGTTTTTCTTGCTAAGTTGTTTGAGCTTTTTGTAGATTCTAGATATGCATCCTTAGTCAGACACACCATTTGTGAATGTTTTCTCTCATTCTCCCATTCTGTGGGATGGTTATTTATTTACTCTTCTGAACTTTTTTCTTTTGCTATCCAAAAGCTTTTTAGGTTAATTAAGCCATTTGTCTGCTTTTGTATTTGTTGCACTTGCTTTTGAGGTCTTAGTTATAAATCCTTTGCATAGGTCAACATCCAGAGAGGATTTTTCACATTTTCTGCTAGAATTTTTATTGTTTTTGGTCTTACATTTACATTTTAATCCATTCTTGATTTAATTTTTGTATATCATGAAATATAGGGATCAAGTTTCATTCTTCTATATATGGCTATCTAATGTTTCCAGAATCATTTATTAGATAGTGTGTTCTTTCCTCAGTGTTATGTTTTGTTCTGCTTTGTTGAAGATCAGTTGATTGTAGGTATGTGGCTTTATTCTCAGTTCTTTATTCTGTTCCACTGATCTATGCATATACCTCCATGCCAGTACCATGCTGATTTGGTTGCCATAATCTTGCAGTATAATTTGAAGTCAGATAATAAGATGCTTCCAGTGTCGTTCTTTTTGATTAAGATTGCTTTGAATATTTTGGTTGTTTTTTTGTTCTATGTGAATTTAAAATTTGTTTCTAATTCTTTAAAAAATGACATTATTATTTTGCATTGAATCTAAAGATTGCTGTGGAAAGTATAGTCATTTTAACAATATTGATTCTTCTAATTTGTGAGTGTGAAATATTATTTTATCCATTTGTGTCAGTTAAAATTTCTTTCATCAATGACATAATTCTCTTTGTAGAGATCTTTCACTTCCTTGGTTAAATTTTTTCCTACATATCTTATTTTTGTGAAGCTATTGAAAAGGGAACTAAGCTTTTAATTTGATTCTCTTGGTAGTTGTTGGTACATAGAAATGTTACTAATTTCTATAGATTGACATTATAACCTGAAACATGCTGAATTTATATCTAATGTAGGAGTCTTTTGGTGGAGCCCTTAGGGTTTTCTAGGTGTAAGATCAATTCCTCAGTGAACAGAGAATTTGACTATCTCTTTTCCAATTTGGACACCCTTTATTTCCCTGTCTTGCCTGATTGCTCTGGCCAGAACTTACAGTAATACGTTGAGGAGCAGTGGTTAAAGTGGGCATCTTTACTAATATGAATTTATTTCAAAGCAAATCTCCAATGTACTCAATACTATTAAGAAGCCAGTAGATGATCTAACACATGCCCACACCGGAGAAAAACTCAATTCAATTCAAGTTGAGGGAGTGGGAACGAGGGAAGAGGGAGAGGTGATGAGGGAAGGAGATTGGTGTGTTCCCATTTAGTGGACAATGTAAAGGTATTGCCACACGTTTTGGGTGTGGGACACAACTACAAGAGGGACTCCACCTAACATATGCAAATATTAACCTGTAATAACCTGAAATAAATACAATAAAACACATTAATCCGAAATAAATACAATAAAACAAAATTAATTAATAAAAATAGAATGGGCATCTTTCTCTTATTCCAGTTCTCAGCAGATATGTTTGTTGGCTATGGGTATGGCATATATGGCTTTTATTGTTTTGAGGTATGTCATGAAGCAATGCTGAATTTTATCAAATGCCTTTTTTCCATCTACTGAGATGATCATATGGTTTTTGCTAGAAATTCTATTTATATGGTCATATTTATTAACTTGTACATCTAGAACCACTGTTGAATCTCTGTCACAAAACCTGCTTAATCATGGCAAATTATCCTTTTGATGTGCTGGATTCAGTTTCTTGGTATTTTGTTGAGGACTTTTGCATTTATAAGGACTTTTCCATAAGAGATATTTTTTGTTGAGGACTTTTGTTGAGGTATTTTGTTGAGGACTTTTGCATAAGAGATACTGTTCTGTAGCTTTCTTGTTGTTGTTGCTTCCTTTTCTGACTTTAGTATCAGGATACTGGCTTCATAGAATGAGTTAGGGAGGATTCTCAAACTTTTGCAACAGTTTCAGTAGGTTGGCACCAGTCCTTTGTACATCTGGTAGACTTTACCTGTGTTTGGCTATGTTCCTACAGTCCTGATCCTTATATGTTGGAAGATTTTTCATTACTGATTCTATCTTGTTACTTATTATTTTGGTCTATTCCAGAGTTCTGTTTCTTCCTGGTTGAATCTCAGAAGGTTCTATATTTTTAGGAATTCATCCTTTTCCTCTAGGTTTTCTAGTTTGTGAAAATAATGTTACCCATAATAATCTGTAATGATCTTGTGTATACATTTTAATTTCCCTTTTTTCATTTTTGAATATGTTGACTCAGAGGTTTTCTTTTTTGCTGTAGCTGATGCCTTATCAATTTTATTAATATTTTTGAAGAATCAATTTTTCATTTTGTTGATTTTTTTGGCTATTTCAGCTAGTTTGTTCTGATCTTTATTATTTCTTTTCTTTTGCTAACTTTGGCTTTGGTTTGTTCTTGTTTTTCTAGTCCTTTGAAGTGGATTATTAAGTTGCTAATTTTTGATCTTTTTACTTTTTTCAAGTAGGCATTTAATGTTATAAAATTCCCTCTGAGCACAACTTTTACTGTATCCCACAGGTTTTCATTTGTTATATTTTCATATTCATTCATTTCAACATTTTTCATTTCTGTCTTTATTTCTTCATTTATATAGTAATCATTCAATAGCATGGTGTTTGATTTCTGTGTATTTTCAGAGTTTCTGAAGTTTAACAAGTAGCTTTATTCTAGTGTGATCTGAAAGGATACTTGATATAATTTTAGTTTTTTTAATTTAAGATTTGTTTTATTGCCTGCAATGTGGTCTATCATTTAGAATGTTCCATGTGTTGATGAAAAATGTATATTCTATAGTTTCTGGGTGGAATGTCCTGTAACTGTCAGTTAAGTCTATCTGGTGTAATGTCAAATTTAAGTTCAGTGTTTCCTTATTGATTTCCTATCTTATTGATGTCTGAGTATGCTGCTAAAATCCCCCACTAATATTGTGTTGCTATCTATCTCTTTCTCTCAGTCTAATAATAGTTGGAGTTCCAATGTTGGGTGTGTAAATATTCAGAATCCTTATATCTACTTGCTGAACTGATCTCTTTATCATTATGTAATGACTTTTTTTGTATTTTTTTTTTTATCATTTTTGAGTTTAACTTTGTTTTATCTGATGTAACGATAGCCTCACTTTGGTTTCTGTTTGCATGGAATACCTTTTCTCACCCCCTTACTTTCAGTCTGTACATATCTTCAAACTAAGGTGAATTTCTTGTAAACAGCATGTAGTTGGCTGATGTTCCCCTAACCCCCACCTTGGTCAATGTATTTTTTTTTTTAAGTGAAAGCATTAAATCTATTTATGTTAATGTTTAATAGTGATATGTGAGGTTTTGTACTTGTCATATTTTAGTGTATTGATAGTTGTTTTATAAATTCTTTCTTTTTCTCTTTGTGATATTCTGAAATTCTATTGTGTTTCCACTTATTCTTTTCTCTTCCACCTTTGTGTGATTGCTTTTTTTTAGACCTTTGAATTTTACATCTTTTTTTTTTTGGCTAGGGCTGGGTTTGAACTTACCACCTCCAGCATATGGGGCCAGCACCCTACTCCTTTGAGCCACAGGCACCACCCGAGTTTTACATCTTTATCTGTTTTTGTGATGATGAATATTGATTTTTTGTTTCCATATTTAAGGCATTGTTGAGCATTTCCTATAGAGCTTAGTTAGTGGGGATGAATTCTCTCAGTGTCTGCTTATCAAAGAGAGACTTTATTTTTCCTTCATTTGTGAAGCTTATTCTAGAAGAATATAAAATTTTTGACTAGTAGTTTTTTTCTTTCAGCAGTTTGAAAATCATATCTCATTCTCTGTTGGCCTGGCCTATAAGATTTATGCTGAGAGGTCCACTATTATTCTGTTATGGATTCCTTTATAAGTGACTAGATGCTTTTTTTCTGCTGAATTTAAAATTCTTTCTTTCACTTTGATCTTAGTTATTCTGGTCATATTATGTCTTGGGAAGTCCTTTTTCAGTATATTTGCTTGGGAATCAGTGGGCCTCCTGTTTCTGCATGTCTGTCTTAACAGTCCTGGGAAGTTTTTACTAATTATTTGTGGAAACAGGCTTTCTAAACTTTTTGATGTCTCTTCCTCTTCTGCCCACCCTGGGAATACTGATAATTCATAAATTCAGTTGCTTTATGTAGTCCCAGATGTCACAAAGGCTTTGCTCATTCCTTTTAATTCTTTTTTTCTTATTTTTTCTCTGCCTGGATTATTTCAAAAGACCAGTCTTCAAGTTCTAAGATATTTTATCCTCTTTCCTATAGTTTATTTTTGAAGCTTTTGTTTTTGTATTCCCTTCAATGACTTTTTGAGCTCCAGAATTTCTGTATGGAGTTATTAAAGATACCTATCCCCTTGGTAAATTTCTCATTCATATCCTGAATTGATTTTCTGCAAATTTATATTTTTTCCCAGATTTCTCTTCAATCTTATTTAACTTCTTTAGAATGAACATTTCAAACCAGTAAAGAATCAGAATTCTTTATCTGACATATTTTGGAATTCTTTCAAGGGCTATCCATTGTTGGACAATTGTGGTTCCCTGGTGGTGTCATATTTCTTTCTTTCTCTTTTTTCCTCTCTGTTGTCCTGGATAGAGTGGCCTGGCATCATCATAGTTCACAGCAACCTGAAACCCTTGGGCTCAAGGATTCCTCTTGCATCAGCCTCCCCAGTAACTGAGACTATAGGTGCTTGCCTCCATGCACAGCTAATATTTTCTGAGATGGGGTCTCCTTCTTGCTCAGGCTGGTCTTGTACTTCTGAGCTTAAGCAATTCACCCTCATTGGCCTGCTACATTGTTAGGATTCTAGGCCTCATAGTGCAATATTTCCTTGATTATTTACATTTCCTATGTCCTTCTATTGATGTATGATGCAGAGTTAGTCACTTGTTCCAATTTTTAAAAATTGATTTGAAAGAGGAAAATTTTTTTCTGAAGATGTATGTATGTTCTTGGTTAATTAGGACACTTTGGCTTTGATTGGGGTGCTTATACTAGTGTGACTTTTGTATAACTGCTTGGACAGCACACAGGGTCTGTGGTAAATGTGATTACCTTGGTGGCTTACAGCACAATTATTAGTTGAGGCTGTGTCACATTTTGCTGGGGACTTGAATGCCAGCTGAGCCAGTCTTTGCACACTCATGGTAGGAGCAATGAACTAAATATGACTGATTTTAGGCTTCAGAGCAGCTTACACTAGCAGCAAAGCTATGTCTTAGAGGACCGATTCTTGGGCCACTTGGTGGCTTGCTTAGAATCTAGTAGGTGGAGCAATGGACCTGGTTATGAGGTAGGGAATTAAGTTCACAAACTCATCTTTTAGAAAGTGCTGTATACCTCATTGCTGAATATAAATGCAGTCACCTTCAAAGTTCACCCCTAGGGAAGCTGTGCACTGATGCTAGCACTTAGTCTGCCCTTCAAAGCAACTTTGGAACTCTTTCTCTGGAATGACCATCAGAGCCATCACTGTATGAGGTCTGACAGTTCCCAAACTAATTCTAGAAAAAATACTAAATCTAAAAGAATTACTATAAATAACCCCTGCTTTAGTATTTCATGTTTTTTAATTTTGTTTTAATTGTTGATATGATTTATGCTTCTGCTGCTGTAAACTGCCTATATTATATTCTGAAAGTTGATATAGTAATAATATAAGTTGTATTTAATTATTAAAAATGCATAAATGCTGTTAAAAGTATAGGAAAGATAACTGAACAATATATTGTTCTTTTATTTTGAAGTATATGGCTGCTTTAAGAAAACAAAGGAATTCCTTTCATTCCTATTTTTACTGAACTAAATTTATTTTTTATGGGAATGGTGGAAAAATACAGATACCTTTTCAAAAGGTTATGTTTGTACCTGTGACTATCACTAATTTTATGTTCATAATGAAGTACTTAGCATTGTTAAGTATCCACTGCCCTTTTAACATAATATCGAGTATTTGGAGAAAGAAGAGGCAGATAATTGTGCCTTTGAATGAGTTATATGTTTCAAGTTACTTAATAAACCTGAAAGTAGAATTTGATTTTCTATTCTCATTTTAGTATTTTTAACAATGCAAATGTTCATCATATAACTTTCTTTTTCTCAAACAGGATATCATTATTTCCTGGAGGGTTTTCCAGATGCACTACTATGTGGAAATAGCTCTGATGCAGGGTAAGCCAATAATTAGCACATGTTTTTGTATTTGTGTGTACATATACCTATATGCATGTTTTTTCTCTCTTTTTGTATAACCGGAAGAATACAGCCAACTAATTTCACTCGCATTAATCTGCTATACTTAAGCTTTTTGGTAAAGTGTGAGAGTATTTAAATATTGAGTAAGCTTTTTTGTATTATAAAAGAGGAGATAATACGTTTAATTGCAATGTTATTTCCCTTAATACATATTGGACAAGGAATCAACTCAGGAGACTTCATAGAAGTGAAATTGAAGTGGAGATACTGAAATAACAATTATCAAGAGATACTAGTCTTGTAAAATGTTATTAGAAATTCCACACCACATTTGAATGATGATGCCAAATGACTAATAAAACAATATTCAGTCAAAGTTGGGAGATAAACCAAACCAGGTTGCAAATATAAAGTGCTACCAGAGTAAAAACATGGTAGAATATCTTGTAATACTTTCTTTTACTTCATTTATAGCCAATGTCCAGAAGGATATATGTGTGTGAAAGCCGGTAGAAATCCTAATTATGGCTACACAAGCTTTGATACCTTCAGTTGGGCTTTTTTGTCCTTGTTTCGACTAATGACTCAGGACTTCTGGGAAAATCTTTATCAACTGGTGAGAACCTAAAGAGCCACACACTGCATTTAAGTAGAAATATATGAGAAACAAGTTGACCTATAAAATCCAAACCATAGCACAATATAGTGGAAAGAAGAGGCTTGAAGTCAGGAGACTTGAGTTTTTCTATCCCACTAACTGTAACACATGTTGAACAAAGTGATGTCAAGGATAGCGATTCTCTCCCATTTCCCATTGGCTCAAAACCTATTTCTTTTCCTTCTTAAGCACAGACTCTCCTGAACAGAAGTCACATTATCCCCTCAGCCTTCTGTACCCCCACAAATGTTATCCTTCATGTGGGAGATGATGAAATGAAAAAGCAGATGTAGCAAGATAACTTCGTTCTCTTCCTCTTTCATGGGGGTCTCCAGGGTATTTTACTGATTGTTTCATTCTTGGTGGATTCAGAAATCCCTCCTAGAAATCAGAGTATGAATGCATAAGTTAGGGGAGAAGGAAGAAGCTGATGTCTAAAAAAAAAAGTAGGGCATGCTGTAACCAACATAATTATTATCTATATCAGTGTTCTGCAAGACATACAAGTAAGGTACCCGTTAGTGAAATAATATTGAAAAATAATTCTGATATCCTTGTTTCTAGACACTACGCGCTGCTGGGAAAACATACATGATATTTTTCGTGCTGGTCATTTTCTTGGGCTCGTTCTACCTAATAAATCTGATCCTGGCTGTGGTGGCCATGGCCTATGAGGAGCAGAACCAGGCCACCATGGAGGAGGCAGAACAGAAAGAAGCTGAATTTCAGCAGATGCTTGAACAACTTAAAAAGCAACAGGAGGCAGCTCAGGTAAATTCTCCAAATCTAACTTTTTTAAATTTGATGGAGAGAAAGCAAGAGTGAAAGTTGTTTGACAGTTCCTATGGGTAGCTGGCAGTATGAGGAATTATTAAAGATTTTTATACTGTGATCATCTACTTAGTTACATTTACTTTAATTATTTTGTTTCATTTTTCTAAGATGTTTACATTATTAAACACAATTGAATTTTCCTGTTATTTTAATTACCTCAAGATTATCAGAATAAAAGAGAAAATGTGATTTGCGGGTCTTCATACCTAAGAAAATTTACTAAATGGGTATACTGGCATTAGGAGAAAATCTTATAGAAATCACCTTTTCTTAGGAAAAATAATTCTTAGTTATTATAAAAAGATGCTCATCTAATTCTTAACAATAGTCTTCACTTTTGTTTAACCAAAAATATGTTGGTTTTTAATGCAATCACTTAATTGCCTCTATGAAGAAGTAAACATATAGTATAGTTAGGGTAACCAGACGTCCCACTTTTGGCGGGACAGTCCTGCTTTTCAACAATTTGTCCTGCATCCTGTGGCGATTTTTGAAAAGAATGCACAGACGGCGGGGGACAAGAAGGGAATATATGGTTTGGGGCTGCCATGTGGCTATTTCACCAGAATATGAGTTTTATATTACTTTTGTTAATTTTATAATGTTAAACTGTAATAATAACAAATAATTGCTGAGAAGTGATTATCGAGACCTGCTTATCAACGTTTGCATTGTTGTCAGGCCCTGCCTCACCCCGTCCCCTGCCCTGCCCCCCCCCCATGTTGTCCCGCCTTACCCATGTTAAAATCTGGTCACCCTAAGTATAGTGTTCTCAGATACAGCAGTATCCAGTAGGTGTATAAACGTTACCAAACTTACAGAAATCAGAGAATCTGAGAAGGATAGCTTGCTCTAATAGTGAGATGTCAGCGCTCCCAGTACAGTCTATTGTAAAATGCCTCTTTTATCACTCTCTAACCTTTAATGAACAAGCAAACTCATTGTCTTTACTAATAATGCTTTAGGAATATTCATTTCTATGTATGAATTCTGTTATTCTTAGAACAATGATAATAATTTTAAAAGCCTACTTAGTATGAGTAGGAGACATGATCAAAAAGCATTGTTTCATTCTAGGACCAGGTGGCTGAGGTGAAGACTGTGAGGGCAATGTTAGGAGAATTAGATATCTTGTCTTGCTTAGCAAACTTTCTGGATAGAGTATTGTGGAGAAGTTGAGAAAGGAACTTTGTAACCATCTGTAAATTTGAATAATAACATTAGAGGCTATTGGACAACGCAATTTCACCAACTCAAGGGAAGACTCAGATCTTTACCTGACACCTCTGCCTTGAGATATGAGGGGATGACCTCAAGTTGACTCATCAGCTTTTCTTCCATGCTCCATTTTCTTTTTCAGAGAAAATAAGATAATGTTGATTAAATACTAATTTTTAGAGTATACCAAATCCCCCAAAGTCATATAAATTTATGCCCTTGTTGATGCCTGATAAATCTCTTTGAATATGTGGTCTGTGAAGCATAAACACAGACATAATAAACTTTACCCCAGAGAAAAGCAAATTATCTTTGAAAGTCTTCATTAGATAGAAAAAAAATTCTGTCTTACACTTGCAGAGACACGTCTAGGTGAGATCAGCTTGAGTCAGCTAATGTATTTGTTCAATGCCATGCAAATGCTTAAGCCATTTTAAAGAAAGATCAGTCTTTTCTAGAGCCAAGCTAAACTATTTCTCCTGTAGCAGGCAGCAACGGTAACTGCCTCTGAACATTCCAGAGAGCCCAGTGCAGCGGGCAGGCTCTCAGACAGCTCATCGGAAGCCTCCAAGTTGAGTTCCAAGAGTGCTAAGGAAAGAAGAAATCGGAGGAAGAAAAGGAAGCAGAAAGAGCAGTCCGGTGGGGAAGAGAAAGATGATGATGAATTCCATAAATCTGAATCTGAAGACAGCATCAGAAGGAAAGGGTTTCGCTTCTCCATTGAAGGGAACAGATTAACATATGAAAAGAGGTACTCTTCCCCACACCAGGTATGGCATTGCTGAGTTTACTGATACATGGATGAGAATTAGGACATGAAAAGAGGGAGAGAATTAGACGGGGCTTAGGAATTTTCATCAACTAAATAGAGTACTACTTTTTATTATATGTAAACTTACAACTTCTCTACATTGTCATGTGACACTTACTCCACATATATGTTAAGTCTCCAGCTTGATGTACTTGAGATAACACTGGGTTGAAAGTCAGAGGACCTATATTTTCATTCTGATATTGTCCTTGGACAATTGACTATAACTAATGGCCTTTAATTTTTCTGATCTTGAGCACCTTTAAAAACATCAACAACAACAAATAGTTAACTCTGGTTCTTTAAGCAGTAATATCCTTTTGATTATGTTATGATTTTATGTTATTTTGCCCCAAATTTCTTTATAACCTACGTGCGTGCTTCTGAAAACACTAGTCATGATACATCACTTTGAATTTTAGAAGTATTGAACATCAATTTCCAACAACACTATGACTTTTAGGTGAAAAAGAAATAATAACTGAAGTGATTTTAGAAAGACATACTAAAATAATTTGGGAAAAGTGAAGGAATGTTTCAAAAGAATAACATAATCCTCGCACTCTGGGAGGCCAAGGTGGGTGGATTGCTTGAGCTCAGGAGTTTGAGACCAGCCTGAGCAAGAGAGAAGCTCCATCTCTAAAAAAAAAATAGCAGGACATTGTGGCAGTCACCTATAGTCCTAGTTACTTAGGAGGCTGAGACAGGAACATCACTTAAGCCCGAAAGTTTGAGGTTGCTGTGAGCTATGATGTCACAGCACTCTACTAAGGGTGACAAAGTGAGATTGTGCCTCAAAAAAAAAAAAAAAAGAAAATAGAAACGAGTAATGAAAACAGATGTGGCCTTGTTAAAGTGATGCTGCCAGTGTTCATTGGATGTTTATAATGTCTGTTGTGATATACTAAAAATGTTTCCTTTTAAACTGAGAAATAATAAAAGGGTTTCGGTTTGTTATTGTTTGTTTTTTGTTATTGCAATAGTTTTAGGTTCCAATCTATGTCCGCATTCCTCAATCCCTAGGGCTAGAAGGCCCTTCTTATGAAACTGTTTTCATTTAATCTGAATATACAATTAGAATGTGAATCAAAAGAAATTAACCACATTCTGTTATGAGTATTGAAATCTCCTGCTTAATCTTGCAGAATGAAAGCATGTTTCAAAGGGTCATAGTAACGTGATTTTCCTTTTTCGTTTGTTTCAAACTTAGTCTTTGTTGAGCATCCGTGGGTCCCTATTTTCTCCAAGGCGCAATAGCAGAACAAGCCTTTTCAGCTTTAGAGGGCGAGCAAAGGATGTGGGATCTGAGAATGACTTTGCTGATGATGAGCACAGCACCTTTGAGGATAACGAGAGTAGGAGAGACTCACTGTTTGTGCCCCGCCGGCATGGAGAGCGACGCAACAGTAACCTGAGTCAGACCAGCAGGTCGTCCCGGATGCTGGCCGTGCTTCCAGCCAATGGGAAGATGCACAGCTCTGTGGATTGCAATGGTGTGGTTTCCTTGGTTGGTGGACCTTCAGTTCCTACATCGCCTGTCGGACAGCTTCTGCCAGAGGTGATAATAGATAAGCCAGCTACTGATGACAATGTAAGGAAGTTTTCAATAGTTCAGGCATGGCTGGCTCATTAATGCTGCACCAGCCAGTGTTTCTACAGAACGGCAACCTTGAGAATGATTCCTGGTTGGTCAAGCTATGAATGCACCTGCATCTTGTAGTCTCTTGAACAGACTAACCAACTAAAACTTAAGACCTCAACACTCTCCTGCACAAACCTGAATGCATTTACTTATTAAGCGTGCTGAGTATTAATTAAACACAATAATTACTGCCTCAAATAGGAGGATTTGCTATACACCTGTACTGAATTGACCTAGCAGGATCTCCTCAAAGGCTCTGATAGAAAAGTCCATGAATGACCCTTGTGTTTAAGAATACGGGGTGTATAATAAATCTTCCAATATATTCTTTAGTATATCTCTGCTTTAGTTTAGATATTCAAAAACACTGTGCTTAAATAGATAGTGTCATGGCTCCCTTAAAATTTCTGGGACTTATATTTATCTTACTAAATAAATGCTGATATAGGTCTTTTCTAAATGAATCTAAATGAAGAAATGCAAATAAATTATTAATACAGACAGATAAAAATAATTGTCTGTCTACAAAGGTTTGTTATGTGCTTATGAGCGTTTACCTAGACGAGGAATTCCTGAACAGATGCTGCCTCTATTTTAGACGGTTCACACATTTGGGAATATATCAGCATGCAGAGGTGTGACTCAGTCACAATTAGATGACTTATTGCTTCAGTACCCTGGATGAAACTGTTGTCCATGAAGCATGTTTGTGTTTTTTCTAACATACGGTTCGTGTTGTCAGTGACTATCCATGTTTTGTGTCCAGAAAATGAGATGACAGCTAAAGTGTTGAAATCATTGTTATTTCCTTAAAAATAAATGGCTACCTTCTCAAAATCCAACGCTTGGATCACTTATGTCACCCTTAAATTACTCTTAATTCAGAAATAAGGGTAACTGCTGAATATATCTCTCAAGAGATTTATCTACTACATCAAAATTATATCATGTTTCATAAAATGAAATCAGAGAGTTAAAAAAAATCCTGCTTCTTGCTGTATGACTAAATGGCGGACAGTTTGGACACTCCAGGTTAATGATTCAATAAGTCAGTCATACCTGCCATCACCAACCCAGTGCATGACGCGTGTGTCTCATGAAATCCACTGTGTCACCATCTGGCTGTTTGCTCACCACATGGCTTGAGTGAATCATTTAATGCATTAGCATTTTCTTCACAGGGAACAACCACAGAAACCGAAATGAGAAAGAGAAGATCAAGTTCTTTCCATGCTTCCATGGACTTCCTAGAAGATCCTTCCCAAAGGCAAAGAGCGATGAGTATAGCCAGCATCCTAACAAATACAGTAGAAGGTGTGTAACAAATTGTGTTGTTTGAGAAAAGATCTCCACTTGTGAGTTGGGAACAGTGCATTCTAATGATAAAACAATAGGTCTTATTCAAGAGTTATTTATTATATGTATACGTATGTTCTACAATATATAAATTTTATTTAAATTTATCTGTTAATGAATGATACTGGAATTAAGAATGTTTTCATCATTTCTTAGAAAAAGGTGACTCTTTGCCATAGCAGGCCTCCCTTTGTTCTGCTTAGCTTAGGACATATAGCAGCATGGCCCCTGCCAGCCTCAGCATTTCCACAAAATAGAAACAAAGAGATGATTCTTATATCACATCGGTACCTACACTAACTTTTATAGCCTGAGGTTGACAATGTAGGTAGTCACTTACATAGGGTTAGACACAATATCTAAACTACCCCCAAACTATGCTATTGTGAAGACATCGTTTAAAAATTCATTCACTTAACATGAGGCGGAGCGCCAAGGGACGGTGTCAGAACACAAGAGAAAAAACTCTTATTTCCTACGTCTGCTGTATGTGTATGCCTAATGAAATGTCTTTGGGAGTCTTACAATGAATCCTATCATTTTTTAACAAATACAAAAAAGGTTGACTCTGTTGTAGATAAAGATGTGCTAGTTACCAAAAATACATCTAGTGGATCTTAATAAATGTATATAATGTTACAGATTTATTTTTTGGTGGTCATTCTTATTTTTCTTTTAATCTAGAACTTGAAGAGTCTAGGCAGAAATGCCCACCTTGTTGGTATAAATTTTCCAACATATTCTTAATCTGGGACTGCTCTCCATATTGGTTAAAAGTGAAACATATTGTTAACCTGGTTGTGATGGACCCCTTTGTGGACCTGGCCATCACCATCTGCATTGTCTTAAATACTCTTTTCATGGCCATGGAACATTACCCCATGACAGAACATTTTAATAATGTGCTTGCAGTAGGAAACTTGGTAAGCATATTGGAAGGTAAATGTGTTCCGTCTTCAAATTTTCTGTGTGAGAAATTTTTACAATAGTTTTTAGCAGTCTTTTAACCACCCTTTGTACCTCCCGACTTCCCCTCAATGGGCTATATCTGTATCCAACTTTTTATCAAAAACAATGACGTTTAATGTCTTCATAAAAACTGAGAAATTAAACAGTAGGCATAGGCCTGCAGTACTACTTGAAAAGTCAATAGTGATATTTATAACTTTGCCAAGATGAAGAAGTAATTCATAGCTAAAAAATATACTTTTTGAAATGATATTATTATAATTTTCCTTACCTTAGAAGGTTACAATAAAATGTTGGATTTTTTTTTAATCCTTCTTACTCATCATCATCGCAAGAAATAATTTAACAACTAATAAATGTCTAACTGTTCTGCTTCTAGGATCTAGGAAGTATATGCATTGTTTTGTCTATTCTATATCAAAACTATGAAATATTGAGCACTGCTAGTACATTTTATTTATTATATGGTTAGCAAGGGCCATTTTTGGAGAAGGTCGCTACTTAAGTCTTTCTTTTGGTGTTTAAAAAGTCATAAATTATTAAAATCTTTACCAGTTGACCTAATTTAGGAAGATTACCTTGTATTTGCTACAAGAAAGAGCTATCGAAAGTAATGTATGATTTTCTACAGCATTTGGTTTGAGATTTAGGATTTTTGATGGTAAGAAGCAAAAACATGGGTGGAGCCTGTGGCTCAGTGAGTAGGGCGTCGGCCCCATATACCGATGGCGGCAGGTTAAAACCCAGCCCCGGCCAAACTGCAAAAAAATAGTCAGGCATTGTGACAGGCACCTGTAGTCCCAGCTATTCAGGAGGCTGAGACAAGAGAATCACCTAAATCCAAGAGATGGAGATTGCTGTGAGCTGACGCCATAGCACTCTAACAAGGGCGATTAAAAAAAAGAAAAAACGGGTAACATCTTGCAGTATTATTATTTATCTATTTTAAAGCTCTGCTATTTTTATTATGAAAATAAATGTATTTTTTATGTGCATAACAAGTCATGATAGTAATGCATATATTACAATAGTAGATAATAATGTATAATAATTCTATCTGATTTAAGGCACTGGGACTAAACTTATAGATAATACAACTGTTTATGAAAAAAATCATGCCAGCATCTGTGTTGTATGCAGTCAGCAGGATGAGGCAGCTTGATGTAATGGAGGGAACACCCTAAAAAGATTTGCACTCAAATCCTAGTTGTGCCATTTTCTAGTTCTATGATAGAAAGAGAGTTATTTTGTGTATCTGAACATCTTAGTTTCTTCACCTGCAAAGTAACCATTGTAATACCTATATTATCCATGTATTAGAGTTTCTGTGAAAATAAAATGAAATACAGTACATGAGTCTTTCATCAACTGTAAATTACTATATCAATTTAAGTTAGGAATGAATCGTAATAAGGAAAGCAGCACAAGCATTATGTTTTAAGAGGAAATATTATGTATTTTATCATTATCTGATGGAATTAGAGTCATTTTGTTGTGATCTTAGGTTTTCACTGGGATCTTTACAGCAGAAATGTTTCTGAAAATTATCGCCATGGATCCATATTACTATTTCCAAGAAGGCTGGAATATCTTTGATGGTTTTATTGTAACGCTTAGCCTGGTAGAACTTGGACTCGCCGACGTGGAAGGATTATCAGTTCTTCGTTCATTCCGATTGGTAAAAACAAAACAAAAGAGTAACAAACACAAAAGCCATTCTTACAATCAGCATTCTTATGTAGTATTGTCGTAGATTTTGCCACATAACCATGACCACTTTAATTTGTTGTGTAACATTCATGTTGTCAAAAACTGTTCTTAAATGTAAAAAAAAAAAATTTACTAAAACCTCTGTTCCCAAGAACATAGTCATGTAAAGTTTGATATCTTACTCAGTTGCTATTCTCACTAATATTGTTTCTAGAGACTGTTAAAATTAGTATTTCTAGATCCAAGGACATTTTTAATGAAAATATAACAGCTTTTAACTTAAAAATGGCCCTTTGTAGCAGTGAATAATAATCAGCTACGAAATGTGCAGGTGGAAACTTTTCATAATTCTACCTCTGGAAAATACATACCTTTCAAAAATCAAAGAAGAAAAAGTTTATATGATTACTAAATAGCCCATTAATTCACATATATACCCTTGCAAGTTGAGAAACAATTGTGTAGTCACAGGAAATATCCCTGCACATATAACTATGGTAATGCTCCAAAGGATCATTAATAAATAATAAACATTTTTCTCTGTTTATATCTGGACTCAAGATGATGTTACTTTGCACGTTATTGAGAAATGAGTATCTTTCAGTAGAGATCATTCAGATTCAGATATTAATATTTTAATGTCAGATATGGTATATCTTAAAACCATCTTTATAAAACAAATTAAGAAGTGTGGAATCCCAAATAATCATTAACAATCCACTCTCAGATAAAATGACTTAAATGGCTAACATAGGGAGAACTAAATTAGTCATGAGCTGGAGAGATTTAGGGCATTAAGAGATTTAATTTTGGTTATCATTCTTGGTAAATCTCAATATATGTAATGTTTTAAAAGATCATAATTATGCATATTAACTTTTTATTTTCCAGCTCCGAGTTTTCAAGCTGGCAAAGTCTTGGCCAACATTAAATATGCTGATAAAAATCATCGGCAATTCAGTGGGGGCTCTGGGAAACCTCACGCTGGTGTTGGCCATCATCGTCTTTATTTTTGCCGTGGTCGGAATGCAGCTCTTTGGTAAGAGCTACAAAGATTGTGTGTGCAAGATCTCCAGTGACTGTGAGCTCCCGCGCTGGCACATGCACGACTTCTTCCACTCCTTCCTGATTGTGTTCCGTGTGCTGTGTGGAGAGTGGATAGAGACCATGTGGGACTGCATGGAGGTCGCTGGCCAAGCCATGTGCCTTACTGTCTTCATGATGGTCATGGTCATTGGAAACCTAGTGGTATGTACTCACTTAAGATACATGTTTCAGGCTTGGTGCCTATAGCTCAGCGGCTAGGGCGCCAGCCACATACACCAGATCTGGCGGGTTTGAATTCATCCTGGGCCTGCCAAACAATGACAACTATAACCAAAAAATAGCCAGGGATTGTGGTGGGCACCTGTAGCCCCAGCTACTTGGGAGGCTGAGGCAAGAGAATCACTTGAGCCCAAGAGTTTGAGGTTGCCGTGAGCTGTGACGCCATAGCACTCTACCAAGGCTGACATAGTGAGACTCCATATCAAAAAGAAAAAAACAGATCTATTTCAGAAATATATTAAAAGCATAATAGAATGCTGATCATTTTGTTTAAAAAATAAAGGCCCATATGATGATAAAAAGTCTCTTACCTTGGATATACTTATATTCTCACTTTGAAAACACAATGTAACAGCGACCCTACAATTTATACCTAATTCTGTTATGTCAATTATTTCATCATATTTATTTTGTGAATTGCAATAAAGTATCTTATTGAAGACAGGGCTAAAATGATATGCTGGGAACATTTTACAAATTCAGAGCCAAGGAAGAGAGAAGTCTAAAAGGAAGAGAGTGAGAAAGCCCACCTTTACCTTCCAGTATAGAACTACAAAATGGTGCCTTTAAATGCTCATAATGACTGCAATTTCCTTGCCCTTTTGTGGCATACAAGCATTCAATCACTCTATGCCCCATGGAAGATGTATTAGCCAGACTGAATTGGGTTATTCTCTATTGCCTCCAGGTCATAACAAAGGATAGCAAATGATGCCTGAGATTATACTGAAGGAGTAACTGAGCAATTCTCCTCTCTCTGAAATTTGAAGAGTTATTGTTCATAGTAAGAATTAGATAGTATATTACAAAAGATGTGGACATCAATGTGCCAGTCTTGTGGAAATATAAGAGATTATTCAAAAACAGTTCTAATTAGTCAACAGTGGGGGAATGAGAAATACAACAGGTTAAGAAAACAAGTATCAATGCCTATGTTAAGTCGTTAATCTTCATTCTAAGCACTAATAGATTTTTCACTTAATTTCCAATTTAATGTCTCTGTTTATCAAAAAGAAACTATAGAATACATTTAAATGCATAGTTTATTTAAATGCATAGTTGCAAATATTAGTGATTTTTAAGTTGAGGAATCTTGTATAGCCCATATATAAATCTTCTTCCATTTATACAATTTTAAACTTAGTATAACCTTATGTCAGTTCATTCAACTTATTCATTTTACAAGTGGGAGAACTTGAGAACAATAGAAATCATGTTTTTGCCCAAGGATGTATAGGTAAGCAGCTATTGAATCAGGTCACGAATTCATATCACACAATTTCTCATCACTATCCTGTAGTGTTTTTCATTTAGTTTTAGAACTTAGGGTCCAAGCACAAGGCTCAGCCTATACTCCTAGAACTCTGGGAAGCCATGTGGGAAGAGGTCTTGAGGTCAGGAGTTTGAGCCCAGCCTGAGCAAGACCCTGTCTGTGCCAAAAGTATAAAAAAATTAGCCAGGCGTGGTAGTCCCAGCTACTCAGAAGGTTGAGGCTGGCGGATTGCTTGAGATCGGGAGCTTGAGGTTGCAATACCTGATGGTCATGCCACCGCCCTCTAACCAGAACAATAAAGCAAGACTCTGTCTCAATAAACCTAACAAAATAAAACAAAAACAATAAAACATAACTCATAGTTTCCTCCACACTTACAAGAATAATCTGTACTGCTTTACGTTGGAATGAAATTGTAACCATGTTTTTTATTGTTTTTAAGGTCCTGAATCTCTTTCTGGCCTTGCTTCTGAGCTCATTTAGCGCAGACAACCTCGCAGCCACTGACGATGATAATGAAATGAACAATCTCCAAATTGCTGTGGATAGGATACAGAAAGGAATAGATTATGTTAAAAGAAAAATATATGAATTCATTCAGCAGTCCTTTGTTAGAAAACAAAAGATTTTAGATGAAATTAAACCACTTGATGATCTAAACAACAGGAAAGATTGTATGTCCAATCATACAACAGAAATTGGGAAAGATCTTGACTATCTTAAAGACGTAAATGGAACCACAAGTGGCATAGGCACCGGCAGCAGTGTCGAAAAATACATCATCGATGAAAGTGATTACATGTCATTCATACACAATCCCAGTCTTACTGTGACTGTACCAATCGCTGTAGGAGAGTCTGACTTTGAAAACTTAAACACGGAGGACTTTAGTAGTGAATCCGATTTGGAAGAAAGTAAAGAGGTAAGATTCTATACAGGTGGGTAGGTATAAATATGTACATACACATACACACACATATATATCGACAGTCTCCAACTTAAGATGGTTCCACTGTGTTTTCTCAACTTTATGATTATGCAAAAGCAATATGCCTTCATTAGAAACTGTACTTTAAATTTTGATCTTTTCCCAGGCTAACAATATCCATACAATAGTCTCTTGTGATACTGTTGCCACAGCTTCCAGTCAGCAACGTGATTATGAGGATAAACAACCAATATTATACTCTATAGTGTATTAAATAATACATACATATAATTACATGATATATTCAACATGTTATAAAATATGCTTTGTCGTAGATGATTTTGCCCAACTGTAGGCTAATGTAAATGGTCTGAGCACATTTAAGTGAGATTAGGCTAAGTAAGCAATCATGCTTGGTAGGTTAGGTGTATGAAATTTATTTTGACTTATAATATTTTCAACTTACAGTATTTTGAACTTACAATACGATGTTGGGACACAACCCTATCCTAAGCCAAGGAATCTGTAATATATGTACATAGTATTCTGTTGCCTGCATTTGCCAATTATATATTTTCTATATAGAATTCTTTTGCCATAACCTAAAACTTCACTTCACGGAAGAACCAAAGACAAAGATTTAACCCAGAGAAATGAATGGTAAATTGAAGAATAACTCACATGTTTCTCATCCTCACCAATAGATATTGGTTAGATGAATGAATGAATCATCCTACAAAAGGATTGGTTAGATGAATGAATGAATCATCCTACGAAAGGATAAACAGCACCTGATTTAATCCTGTGTTACCCCGGAAAGGGATGTGTTATCATCCTAACGTTTTAGATAAGAACACTAGCTTAGGGAGCTTATATAGCTAGTGAGGGAAGAGCTAAGATTGTACTTCTAGATTTTTTTCACATGTGTATGGAAAAGAACTTAACAAGAACTATTCTGTGTAGTTCCTTTAACTAAAAGTGCATTTTTCTATATATTAGTCTTCTTGGACTGCCATAACTCTGTAGCATAATCTGAGTAGTTTAACAACCAAAATTATTTTCTCACAGTTTCAGAAACTGGAAAAGTCTAAGTTGAAGGTGCCAACAGGATCCATGTCTGGTGAGGGCTGTCTCCTTGGGTTCCAGATGGCTACCTCCCCGCTGTGTCCTCACTCAGCCTGTTGTCTGTCTTGTGCTGGAGAGAAAGAGCTCTGCTATCACCCCTTCTTATCAGGCACCTGCCCTATCAGATTACAGCCCCACCCTTTTATCTACATTTAACCCTTTCACTACCTCACAGGCCTTATTTTTAAATTCGATCACATTGCAAGTTAGAGCTTTGACGTATGGATTTGAGGGGGGACAAAATTAAATCGCGACCAACCCACTTAAAATTATTAAGATTATTTCTAATGGATATTTAAGATAATTCAAAAAAAGCCTAGAACAAAGCCTTTATTCTCAGTGTATGGAAGTCTCAAAAAGTGTAGGTTCCATTCTTTAAGCTACGCAGTATAAATAATTTAAAGGATGTAGCATATCAAAGACATTTTGTTACCAATACAATTCTATAATATAATGCCATGTCACATTTTGATAGTTGTTCACATAAGATACCACAGGCATGTGACGTTCTTTTGAATTATTGAATATGCCTCTTTAAAGATGTTTTAAGCAATTATAATGAATCTCTGAATATTTCAGGTAATCTTTGGCTTTTTGCAGTAGGAGACTAGTGTTGGAGCTATAAACCTGATGCTTAACCCTAGCTTTAGAGCTTCTTAGGTTGTTCAACTTTGGGTAATGAGAGAAGAGGTATAGTGCAGAGACATAATGGTAGGTAGATCCTGGTCTCATTTCTCATGGCCATTGAAGAAATAGATTCAGGAAATAAACGATAGATTGCTTTGGTAAAACATTTGGGAATTTTTCAACATTTATAAGTTGAATATATCTCAGTTTAAGCTTTGTTCATTAAAGGACTCAGGTTTTGCATTAAGGAACAGGATGGTCAATTAAAAAAAATTATTGTCTTCCTATTTATAAAGTTGGTTCTTAACCTCTGCTTAAAGAAATTTCATAATATCCTCATCCGATTTTCTCTAGACTTACATTACATATTTGATGAGGAATAATAACTCCTACCTATTATCTGTTAAGTTAAAACAGGGAGGGTTATTTTATTACAAAGACCATCCATAACAAATACTTTTTCTGAAAAAATTTGACGGGTTTTATACTGTTACTATTTTTGTTTGTATTGATCAGGGCTAAAAGGAACATGAATCTCTTTTAAAGTGGCTATTCACCCAGCCAGTCTAGGCAGTTCTGTTTCTTTATAGTTTCTTTATACATCGTGAGACATCGCATTAATTGACATTTTCAATGTTAGGATAACAGAAACTAGAGATAAATTAGTGCTGTACTTCTCAAATTGTGTGTCATGGACAAGTTGGAGTTGAGGAAACTGTTTAATAGACCTCTGGGGTTTTTTAATTTATCTTAATGAAATAGATTACATCAAGAGCACGTTGCATGTTGTAGGGTAAAGTTCTGATTAAATGATGGTTTTACTGTCTGTGCTGAATCCTAATGGTTTGTCTAATTAGAGTGCACATACTTGGTCCCTAGGTGTAGAGCTAGAGGTTCAGCAGCTCTTAAGTTTCTGAAACAGTGTATCAGCTCTTTGAAGGTAGCTGTAAGGAAGCCTCTGGCCCCCAGGCAGAATGATCACTTTCTTTATTGGTTTCCAGAGATGTAAAGCATACAGCATAGGTAATAATAAATAATGCATACTCTCAACTCATCCATCTCACAAAGTACTGTAAGATTTTAAAATAGTTACTTCTATGGATATATGTCTCTCTATTGATGTCCTGATCTACTTACACATATGTGATACAAAGTAGACACTCAGATAAAACTTTTCCAGCTCAGTCAAGCCTTCTTCATAGAATCAGTTAGAAGAATTCTCACAGTCACACTTGCTGTGATGAAAGTGTACTTGAAAATACAGTTTTATGTGCCATGATATTGGACCCCATTTTTCTCAGGATTCAGTTGAGTTATATTTTGTTTTTGTTAGCCATTTTACCCGCCCAGTTTATACCATGTTTCTAAGAAGATAATAACCCCTCATTGTCTTCACATGAATTGCTACTGAAGTGTGTTTGTGTATCATCCAACTGAAATATTAAAAATTAAATACACAAACTTCTATTCATCCCCTAATATTTTTTCATTTCTTTCATTCACTTTTGAATTACTTTCTTTTAATATTCTTTTATAGATTGTCGTATTGTCTCAAATTTCCTGGCCCTTCTGCTTCATTATTTCTTCCTTCTGATCAGAAATAAACCCACACGAAATTATTTCTCCTCATTGCTTCATCAGTTTTATGTTGTAGTTCGTTCCTCAAAGCAAGACAAAATTTATGAGATGCTCTGCTTTTAGAGAAATGAAACCGAGAGCCGATTCCCCCCAAGGTGAAGATTCTTTAGTCCCCGTTAGTAATGCAGACTATAGTATATTGAAGTATATTTGGGGTTTTTCTGTGCTTCCCTTTATTCTTTTTGCCTACTTTCATTTATTCAGCAGTTCCCACATTTCAAGGGGACTAGATAATGGGCAATACTAATAAACCATAAGCTGTGATTCTGGTAGCATGGCTCTCCACCTTTAAATATGAATTTTTCTATTCAGACATACTTTACTGACTCAAAACTGTTATCTTTCATGGCCTGTATTATACCCGTTTTGCTTGAATGTGTTACTGTTTTCTGGTCATAATTTGAATAATGACTTATCTACAGTGAGCCATAATAGTACCCCCAAAATTGTATTAATGCCTCATGTTAAAATTACAAGAGTTCATTGTTTAATATTCACATTCTAAACATTTGATTTTAGATGGGTGAGACTATAGTTACAATATTCTTGGTGAAAGATCAGATACTGGCTTATATAATTCCACATTAGCTACATACTGTGGGATGTTCCCTAACTAATCCTCAATTTGCTCATCTCAAAAATAAGAAAATGTTATCTTCTGCAATCTTTGGGAGGGACATTACATAAGATAACCCGAAGTGCTTAGCACAGTGCTTTACATGAAGCATTCAATAAATGATCGTCATTATGGTTATCACTAGTCACATACCACCATACTGTTTCAGTTAGTTTTTTTTTTATCAAAATTAACTAATAACATATTCCACTATGCTTATTTTTTTGTTGTATGCTTTTTTACATCTTTAGTAAATCATTTGCGTCTGTGGCTTAAATGGGTAGGGTGCTGGCCCCATATGCCAGAGGTGGTGGGTCCAGCCCCAGCCCCAGCCAAAAATAAATAAATAAATAAATTGTTTTATAAACTTATCTGGGGATAGTAATAAATTGCATTTTTTCTGTTTAATTGTAAAATTGTTTTGATTAAGTTCTTCATATGGTAAACCCCTTGCATTATTTAGGAAAATGGTTTTTCTGAAGGGTATCCCAATCAGAAAATATAAATATGCAAAAATATGAAGACAGGATGCAACAGGAGGGGTTTGGAAACAAAGAGCAGATTGGAATTGCTGGGGCATAAAGTCACAGGAGATGAGGCTGAAGATGTCAGCAAGTGGCAAATAGTCTCAGTTTCCAGGAAACCAAGAATAGATGGATGTGAAGAGACATGGTAAGATGAGAAGCCATATTTACATATTAATACTTATACTCCTGCATCAGGGATCCAGTCTCACATTACTGTCTTCTATCCCAGGACAAACTTAGTGGCAGTCTTTTCTACATCTTCCTCCCATTGGTTTCCAGATGAAGAAAAGGCCTGGCATGGGCCACATTCATCATCTCTTTGAGTTGCAATGACCTCACCCAAGTATATCAAAATAATTTGAGGAATTGTTTTTAAAGCTTTGAAACATTGCTTGACTCAAGAAATAGAAATTTTAGCTAGGAATGTAGGTTTCTATTGAACATTAAGGGTTAAGAATGGT